CATCAGGGGATTAAATCGCTATTATAAGATAACATTTGAGAAGTGATAGAAATATATTCTATTTCCTTTCTTTACTAGGATTGTTATTTATTATGTTACATTTCACGATAACGTTTGACTAGGTTTCTTTTCTTTTAAATTCCCATGATTCTAAGATCTGTTTGCTTAGGATATTGCTTATTATTTATCTTTTTTTTATATAAAATATTGTTTACTATTTTTTTCCCTCAGATTGCTTATTACTTTCCTTGTTTCTTCAGATTGTGATTTTGTTATCAATTCCCTGACAAAAACAAAACAAAAAAATGGTGCTTCAGTAATGAAATTGCATTCATCTTTCACATGGATATTAAATAATAAATTATTTTCTTTTACTAATACATTTTTGAATGTTTATTTGATATTGATTTGATATATTTTTTGAACTTTCTTAGTTTTATAAATTTATAGACTCAAGTTGCTTATCTTAGAAAGACAAACACGGAAATAGTGTCTCCTTGTGTTTTCAAATGCTGCTATCGATTGGATACAAATATTTTTTGAAAAGAATTAAAAAGACAAAAAAAGAAGAAATGCATTTGAAGTAAATATCCTTCTGTTGGACTTTTTTACTTTATATATTTTGAAACGAGATTTGCTAGTACGATTTAAATTTCTTTCTTATTATTGTAAAGCTTTTACATCTTTCATTCGAAAACAAGAACATTTCAGTTGTGGGAGGTTGGAAGACAATTTTGGTCTGTCAAAATTCCCAAATTATACAGCGTTGATTTAATTTAAGCCTCCCATACTTAGATGTCTATGATGGTTGCTCCATAAATCAAAATGACATGAAATTTGAACCACAGATACTTAAAATCATGCGTTAAAGATTTGAGCCGTTTTTTTTTTTTTAAAGCGGTGTTCGTTCATTTTATATTATATGGACATATTTACCACTTTCAAAGTAATTATATTTGTAATTGTATTAACTACATACATTTACATTGGCAAAATGATGTACATTTTGAAGGATTTTTGGGGACTATTCAGGGATAAAAAGCTCATAGCAGATTGCATTCAATGCTATAATTAACTAGTTTTTTGTCAAAATTGGACCTACATAACGTTCAGAGAAAACGGTTAATTTATTAAATTATATAAAAATGGATGAAACTACAATCGATGGGGTCGCTGTAAATTTAGGAAAACAATCCATAGAGGTTCTGTTTGTTAGCCTGTAAGAAGATGTATTGCTGCAGATTTGGTATCAAAAAGGTTGCCAATATATCCTAATATCATCGTTAGGGAACATAATAGGTCTTAGGTAATGTAGGAGACATCAGTTAAAAAAATTAAGGTCAATGACGAGAATCGTTGTTAAACTGTACTATATCATAACTTTTGCAGAATTCAATGACACAGAACATCAATTTTTTAGTGTCCACATGAGGCAGTTGGGACTATTCATTTGACTATTTAAGTTTCTTTAAAATTTTTGACGTCTAAGCAGCTTTGAGTTCCATTCGTAAAAGAAACTGCAGTCCAAATTCTTCTTGATCCAACATCGTAATCCAACAGCTTATGAGTTTTATGGATTTTATACGGGTAATAACCAGAGATTCGTCTCATCATTTTTCAAACAGTTAAACAGAGTTAACGTTACGTTAAAATGAAGAAATGTTAGTATAAATAAATCAAAACATTTTTTCCGTTTCACGTATTCATGTAACATTGCTGTAGAATCTACAAAGTGTCATAATGAGATTAAAAGTTTAATTAAAACTTATCCTAAATAAATATTTTACATTCCACTTCTTGTTAAAATATTTTTTCAATAGCATTCTTTTTACAAAAATAAGAAATGTTCATTATTCAAATTAATTTAAAATAATGATTTGTTTTGGGAGCTGTTAAAGATGATATGATTTATTATTGCAATTGGAATCTTAAAACATTAAAATATGAATGAAAATCATGTTATAGTTTTTTATCAATTTTAAGACAAAAAATAAACAAGATGAATTTTAAATCAAGTTTGTTGTTGCTTAAGGTATGATTGTGAGTAAATTTACAATATACTCAGCCGCATTCTTCTGGAGGTATCATTTGTGAATATGTTGGTAGTTATCTTACAAATGTCATTAGAAAAACATCAAACTAAAATTTAATCAGGTCCCAACTAAGACAAAATAAGGAATTATTACATTATGAACTATTATATATATATAAATAAATTGAAAAATCACCTCTCATAGAACTTGCTCTTATTTGATACGACATAATCTCAAATTAATTTTGTAGCGAAACACATTAGTAACATTAACATATTTTACTTGTCAAACTACACGCTATTAACATTTAGGCATTTGCTTTGATGATAAGAGTTGAAACATTCCCCGTACAGTAAGCTATACTTCGAACATCTATAAAGATTCACCGAATAGCACTTCCTTTGATATAGTGCTTACCCATTTACATCATTAACTTTGACTTAACCCACTTCAATTGCAAATAAAGTAAAATAATTGGGAATTTAATATGCGAGCATTGTGTGAAAGTTTCTGTTTGTCAAATAATATTATATGTTTGTAAAATCTTAATTTAATCTTGTGAAAGTTAGAAATTAGTTTCATTTCTTTCTATTTTAATCTAATGTTTTAGAGCTATATACCTGGATCCTTAAAAGTGATTGAAAAATATACAATTTAGTATTTTTACCTAGTACAGCGTAAGGAAAAAAATAATCGACTTCATCGCATGAATGTCGATGAATGTTATTGAATAATATGTAGGATTACATGTTGGATTATATAGAAGGTGTTATTCTGTAATGCAATAAATTCTAGACTCTTAACATCATTCAGGTATTAAACAATGTAATTACATTAAAAATAATTTAAATATCTCTTTAAGATCCAGCCAGCACGATCGTGCGGGTTAGGTACTCGTTTACGTTTTTGCCTCTGGAATAGTCGTATGTTAAAAATGCCCTAATAAAACGATTGTGATCGGGTCTGCAGGAAGTGTAAAGTATCTTCTATCAATGGGCGGTGGTTGCGGTCTATGTTTTACTTCAAGTTGATAAGTCTAGCTTTGTTTATAAATACAACGGAAACACGTATTATTTTAATCTTTCGTATGAAGGTAATTATCAATATATTTCTAATTGCTTGAATACAAAGTTTTATTTTAATGATTGAATAACTTAAAATAGTAAAAGAATTAATTTTTTTTTATTAATGTTGTTTGTAGAACTCAGGATTTCATTAGCCGCACGATCGTGCAATTTGGGTGTAACATGAGTCACTGCAGCTGTAAAAGTAAGTGTTTTCCATGTGAGTTTTCTTTTCTGCTTCTATAATTTGTATGAAAACGTAAAAAAGAATTATATTGTCTTACATAATTTATACCATATTAAGTTGTCTTGAATGAGTCCCTTTTTTCTTTCTCTCGATTTTTTCCTCTCTAGTTAAACTTCTCTTCCATACATTTTCTCAGGGGTTAGGCCAATTAGGCACTCCTCTACACAATTATCTGCATTCATATATCCCCCCCACACACCAAATAAAAATATGGGTTTTTCGGTGGAAGTTGGTGTGGCTTAATTACTTCATTTTTTTAAATAATAAAATTCCCTGATACATTTTATGATTTTTCATACAATACTGTGATAACTTCTAGCAAAAAAAACTGGTCCAGGTGTCTAAAAGGAAAATAATTCTCCCACAATAAGAAATTTGGAATTGATGAAAAATTTAGTGATCACTCAGATCATGACTATGTTGACAACTTATACTGAAGGAGAATGAAGTTCAGATGAGAGCGATGGAAAAAAGTTGGAAATACTTGTAATGGAAAGACAATTTTGGATCATCCTTTTTTGGCGACGACTCTTGTACCCATTCATTTCATTGTTTTATCCGAAGCAAATTCTGGGTTTCAGTGCAAACAAATACAATATCAAATAAAATTCCTCCAAAAATCAAAATGGATCTTTTAAAATTTAAGTTAGAGGTAGCTGAAACGCGCACGCGTTATCAGCTTCTCCACCTACTAGCAAAAGTTTAACTGCTAATGAAGATGACAATGTTGTAATCCCTCTCGCAAAAAGACCACAGTATTATAATCCGCCTACTATATAACGCCATGCCCAGGATAAAAGGCATTGCATATTTAGCTATTTTTGATATGTTGGTGACATTTTATGGCCTCGAAATTGAAAACGTGTTGCGAAAAATGCAGTGTTAATTTAATGCTTGTGAAAAACAAAAACAAGCTTTAAAGATTTTCACAGTTAATAAATAGTGAATTAATGAAAAAATTAACTAAACGTAAAAAATGTCCCTATTTGTAACAACTTTAGTTAAATAGCGTTCGTTTATTCTATCAATTAGAGCCAAAAAATGCATAACTCGTAAAATTTCACAGTCGCTGGTTTCAGAGGAAAAGCCAAATTGTGTGTTAACCGCCTGCGTTCCGGGAAAGGGGCACGGAAACTTTCAGTATTATTTCCAGTTTCATTGAGATCTATATAGTGTTACTAACCAAATGAATTTAATATTTAAAGATAAAAATATTTCTGTCCTAAAGGGATATTTTGCACTTAAATGTGTATAATTACATAATTTACACTTATTAGTGTAAAACGGCTATTTGAAATCCACTGGGCAAGCTTATTAAGAAGGTAACACGATTTTGTTACAAAATCTAAATTCATTGATAATAAAAAACTATTTACTGAATCCACACGCTAAAAATGTAATAGTTTTGGCATGCATCTGATTTTGTGTATATTACAAACTTTTATTTAACTTGCAATGTAAGATGTTCGGGTGGAATCTTGCAACTCAACTTTGAAGCTAATGTTTTCAACCGATTTAGCTGAAATTTTGTATACACGTTTAATTTGGATGACACTGCATGTTTTGACGATTTATATTCCGATATCGACTTAGTTACTGTAACGATCTTGTTCAGGTGTTAAGGCGAGCATGTTTACAATAAGAAAGGTGTGAATCGTGAGCGTAGCCCAGATGGTAGAGCGCTCGCTTAGCATGCGAGAGGTATGGAGTTCGATACCCCACGCCTACTATTGTTATTTTTTCATGAAAAATATTTTTGAAACTCGTTTGATTTGTACAACGACATTTTTTACAATACTTTCACTCTGTATAGGTACAAAGTACGTTATATTTTACAAGCTTTTATTTAACTTCCAATATAAAATGTTCTGGTGGAATCTTGCATTTCAATTTTAAAGCTGATGTTTTCAACCGATTGAGCTGAAATTTTGGATGACAATGCATGTTTTGACTATTTATATTTCGATATCGCAATTAGTTAAAAAGACTAGCTGCATGGCCCGGAATTGCACAGACTTTCTCAACTTTTATAAATTTTCCCTTTCCTTCACAAAATCAGCACTTCTAATACTCTTTTTTCAAAATGACTTCAACCTCCTCCACTTAGCCCAGCGTTGTTCGGGTTTTACCGAGTGTATAACTTAAAATTTGCTGTTTCAAAATTTTTTCGCTTCTTTTGTTTGTCAGACAGGTTTAATTTTTCGGATGGAATCTAGCAACTCAATTTTGAAGCTGATGTCTTCAACCGATTGAGCTGAAATTTTGTATACACGTTTAGTTTGGATGACAATGCATATTTTGACCATTTATATTTCGATATCGCAATCAGCTAAAAATATATCAATTGAAAACATTTTACCCATGTTAGCTTTTTATTCTGCCGAGCAGCTTGTCGGATTCAGCTTAGAGAAGTTCCGAATTTTCGACTTTTTTTCAAAAACCATCTTATTCTTTCTATCTAAATGAGACAAAAAATAATTGCATAACCGGAAAGATCATTTATTTCGCCACGATACGGTATACTTCTTTTTTAAAAAATAGTGATGTTTTCTATTTTTTACAATTTTTTCTAAAATGAGTCAGAATCGATGCGTTTTCATAAAAATGATTTCTAAATCATTCTGTATGAATTTTTTTTCGTGTTATTGAATCAATATTGTGCACTAAGAAAGTTCAGGTTTTTCTCTTTTATTTAAAAAAATAAAATGTTTAAAACTTTTTTTACGGTTTTTCAAAAAATACTTAAATTTTTAATATAACATTTAAAAACTTCGTCATTTTTTAAATATAATCGCACGAAAATATTTTTTTCGTTTGTAGAATAGCATTATACAAATTCTACACAAAAATTGAAAAAATTTCTTTAAAGTTACAGATTTAAAAAATATATATATGTTTTTCGCTTTTAAAATAGTATAATAGTAAAAACAGAAAAAATATGAGTTTTAATATTTTAATTAATTTTGCTTTGTCCAATGTTGTTTTGCTTTAACAGTGTTTATCCCCCTTCCCATTATCCTCTTGTTGCGGCACGAGTGAAATATCTATCATATGTATGCGGCCTGGCGGGAAAAAAGGCTGAGTACCCCTTATTTGGACTGTTCAAAACTAACCGGCAAACAACCTTGAAACAATCATGCGTTGAATGAGATTAACAAACTGAGAAACCTCAGTCCAGCGATAACAAAAACGTAAAAAATAAATTAAAAGTAAAAAAATACTTTTTAAAAAACAAGCTTTTATTTAAATGATCTAAAAAGAATAAAA